ATTTTCTTTCTTTGAGCACAATGTTACACAACCATTATTTGTATATAGTGTTAACATGATCATTACTCCATCTTTTTGGTGATAAACATTTGCTTGTTGTTTCTCAGTGGATTTCAATCCGTAAGAGTTGATGTTTTATTTTTTTGAAATTGTCGTTGAAAAATTTTTAGTTTTGACTTGGCTTATAGTTATGGTTTTGCAACGTTTAATCTATAATAGTTTACTATGTTGTTCGAGTTCAAACCATCATACTTCCATATTTCCAATACATGTAATTTCGCTCTATTTACGATTATCATCAGGGTAAGAATGTAGATATACACTATCATTTCACACGACTGCAGAAAACAGTCACTGTGTCACTATTAAATCATTCATATTAACTGCTTATGGAAACCACGAATTAACTTATGAAGAGGTGTCGAGACGACAATCTTAACATGAGTAGAGTCCTCCACTGCCAATGTAATAGCTTGGCTAAATGCAGTAGTAAATCTTTGTTTTGAGAAGCATCACAGTGGCTTAGCGTGCAAAATGAACGTACGCTTGTGCTGGCGGTTACGGTACGTTACGTTCGTAAACATAACGTGGAGATTACGTAGGTGACGACGTTATTTTGGTAAACAGGTTAACTTAGTATTGCTGTCTAGCTCTAGCTCAAGCAGTTTTGTTTTGCGTTTGCATTTACGGTCACATTTTGTGTGAATAAACTAACTGCAATATTTTTAAACTGTTTTGTAGAATGGTACGTAAGAATTAGAGAGGTTGCGTTTTGATTCTACCTTTGCAATTTCTTCCTTAACTAAACTTGTTATTTGAGTTGATAAAATGCTAGAACAGCCTATTTTCGCCGTTGTTCTGTTTACAATCCACATAGTGATAGCATAATATTCAGTGATACATAATCTACTCTGTGTCAGGCAAGAAATATGTCGAAAACATAACAAGGGGCTCAGCTCCGGTCAAGTGGTTAGAGTGCTGGACTTCTGTTTGTAATCTTAAACTAATCGGCAATGACAATTACTGGGCGATATACCGAGAGTTTATGGTTTGGAGTCCACCTTTTCTGTAGGTCTACATATAAAGTATTTCAATTAAGTCCACTTAGGTAAAAAGTCTGAAAACTCTTAACTACATATCCCAAAAACACCAAAGTTACTTCGATGTGTAGGCCTATACATTGCCATTCAGCAAATCCCCTTGAATGCTCTTTTCCCTCCAAAAGTTTTAGTAGGTGTAATTGCTGTTGAAATAACCCATCTTCTCTAGGTAACTCAATACTTTTTAAAGTTATCAATGTGTAGTTACTTACTTTCGTGTCTACATTGTTACTGTCTCCACTTTAACTAGGTTTATCTGTACGCGGTTTCTATTAGTGTGTTTAACCGAAGTGTTACGTAAGGTATGCCGTATGTCATAACAAATGATTATTGAAAAGGTTTCCTAGAACTTGAAACGCGCAAAAAAACTGTTGATGGAAAAGCGGTTTGACATGTGTATAATACGTTGTGCGTTCACTTGCATTATAAATTCATATTAAAACAAAACACTAGTTGTACAACTCGTGTCGAGATTAAGTATTTGTGTTGGGGTAAGTGGTGGATTAGTTGTGTTTAAAATACCCCCACTGCAGCAAATCTGCCGACTAAGCGAATTTCAATTTGTCTGAATTGAATTTTAATTAAATCTATCTAAATGACATTAGGTTTAACGAGTACCTAGGTTTGTTGCTACAATGAAACTAATAAAGTGGGGGTTTTAGTAAAATATTAATAGCGTAGTATAAAATAATAAATAAATTTGCCTAGTTTGATCAAAATATATCCATAAACAAGCTAAACTACAACACTTTACAATATTTTCCATAAGAATAACATGGGAATTTTAAAGAAAACACAAAAACGATTGCGGTTTGCAATGGTTATTTTGGGGTTTTTTTATTTCCTCCGTTACCAATAACCGTACAAAACACTTTGATATACTAAATTATTTGTATTTTTTAGTTCTTTAAAAAGGTCTAAAGAAAAATTGGAAAATTTTGTATTTTAAGGGTCAAAAACGAGAAAACCCAATTTTCCTCATGAAATGTCCAGTAAAACCCCGTTCCCATGGACCGATGCTGGTTCGCGAACTCATTGAAGTTTATCCCGCCTTAAACCAAGTTTCATCAAAATCGGACGCTCGTTATCGCATTCACGTGCACATAATATATAACTCGATATATATACATACATAAAAATCTGAACGAATGGTGTTTTTGGCCTCTGGGGACACCAATATGTAAATCGGTCCCGGGCCCAGGTCTTACCGTGCCACTTACGGTAATTCCCCATAGGGAAATTCGCTAACATGCTTTTAAAATTAGTATGATGTCTCTCCGTTCACTTGAAATGAAAGTAAAGTAAATAATAAGAAAATAATCATGTTTTAAATGTAACAAACGTTATTGGTAAATTGGGAAAATGTTTGTAGTACAATCGGATTGTAATCAAATATGTTTGAAACATCTGACGAACTAAATGACTCAATTAAGTATGTTCATGTCTCTTATACGAAGAAATAGTCCTTCAATTACATTAATTTGATCAGTTATACCTTCTAAAGGCCAGAAATCAATTTAAATCATTTCTGGTACTAAACCAGACATATAGATAACCGAAAGACATGGACATGCGTGTATTTATAAACACACAAAATGGTATTAAATGATTCATTGTCTCGTTTTACAATAATAATATAGTAGCCTACATGATAATATTGTTTCTGGACTACATGGTGAGATCTTATCTGGCCAAGAGGAATTGTTTTACTCGTAAATAGCCGACGTAACGTGTTATCATCCAACCGAATGCAGTTTCCCAAGCGTCACCACTCAACTAATCAGATTTTGGAAACGTAACGCATTGCGAGTGTAAGTGGGTAGCGGAATGTTTACCCTATCATCGCCACAGTTAATCACTCGTATATCGCATGGGATGAGGTACTGTATCGCTAGCAGACAGACAGTTGTGTGTTAACGGTATAAGGAACTGGTCCTGGTCCAGACGTTCCGGGAACCAGCGGACAACTTGACTGTGACTCACCGGAACACGGGACCGCGGACCGTCTGTTGTCTGTTCTAGTGACAACCGTAATATATCTGCGACACCGACACTATCGCCGGACTTGAGTACGGTCTGTGATCGTAACTGATAGCGACGAGGGTTTGGCTATTGGCTGACAGGTTTCTAGAGTGCGAAACTGAGGAAGATGTAGGAATGTTTCGTTCTTGTTGCAATTTTAATTTTTTGAGTTTGTCGGAAGATGTATACAAGCGTACATTACCGTGTGACAACGGAACTATCGCTGGACTAGAGTACAGTCTGTGATCGTAACTGAAACTGATAACGACAAATAACGACGTGACGGTGACGTTGGGGTTTGGTTGTTAGCGGGCAGCTGGGTTACTAGAGTGCAAAACTGGGGTTCAATGTTTGGAATGTTAAGTTTTTGTTGCAAATTTAATTATTATTATTTCGTTGAAAAAATTTATTTGTGGAAATTCAAATCGTCAATAAAACATAGCATGACTTTAAATATTTTGGGATTTTTTTAGCTGTATCTTTGCCATTACTTATTTAAAAATAATTGTGGAATCTCCATCTAATCTTATGTGGACGTGACGCAACCAGATTGTTAGTGGGGAAGGATAATTTGAAACTTATATCAAATTTAACTCTAATTTCCCTATTTTTAAGATAGGTTTTGTTTAACACCTTTTTAACACCGTGCTTCGTCTAAAAATTTGAATACTGTATTACTCTTGCATAATGCTGAATGATTGATAAACTGCTTTGAATTTCAATATTAATTGGTTCTTAAGCCATGAAAGATTTCCTCCCAAACATACACAGGTCACAACGCAATTGCTGTAAAACTCCTTTGCAATCAAAACCACATTTTTGTCTGCAGAAACCAAGTAGTTTGCGTTTGCAGTGTACAGGGAAACTACTACTGTATCGTTTACTGCAATAAATATGTTATTAATTATTTGTAATCATTCTGATTATTTGGGATAAAACATTTCAAAAGCAACACTTCCTATTAATGAAAAAATCTAAGTAATAAAAAAAGTGTATTTCGAGGCACTGTCATAAACCAATAAAATAATCAAAAACATCAACTAGCCAAAGCTTTATTTGAACATATTATTTTCTTGTTATATTGAATTTTTATAGAGTTGTTTAGACAAGTCTGAATCCCATATCACAGTTTGGTGTAACCCTGTTGTGATGTTTAGCCGGTAACAGTGAACAATGACACAGTGGCATTGCACTGTTTGATGGTGTGTGGCTGAATGCATTGGCAGCCAAACAATCCAAGTAAATACAGCACAGAGGGGCATAACGATATCTGCCAACTCTAGCTGTAGGCCAAGTCTGATATTTACGCTGAATACTAACCAACACCACCAGCAGCCCTTGTCTAGCCTTGATTGGCTATTTATGTGCATCGATGTATAATAACTCCCTGTAATAATAACTGTAGAGTTATTATACATCGATGTTTATGTGTTGTATTAATAGTCAAATAGTCAAAGGTATAGGTGATCAACTTTGAAATAATTTTGAAAGTAAGTTTTATAATGTCTTTGTTTTCAGCCAATCAGCTTATGCTAGGTATTTAGCATTGACACATTTTAAACCATAAATTTCAAGGTAGCATTAAAAATGGGAATTAATAGTTCATACAGATTTTGTTTGATTGTTACTTCTGATTTATTTGTAAATGTAAATTTTTAAATGTTGCAAGTTTGACAAAAGAGTATCTTTTGTAGGCAAGATTTAAGACTGTTTGTAAAGTATTTATTGACAAACATGGTGGATGTTGGAGGCTTGTATTGACAATCATGTTTTATGCTGTAGGCTTGTATTGACAAACATGTTGTATGTTGGAGGCTTGTATTGACAAACATGTTGTATGTTGAAGGCTTGTATTGATAATCATGTTTTATGTTGCAGGCTTGTATTGACGACAACCTAGACATGGTTGAGTTCCTGGTGAAGCATGGAGCAGATGTCAACAAAGGAGACAACGAGGGGTGGACGCCTCTACATGCTACGGCCTCTTGCGGCTTCATCAGCATAGCCAAGTAAGTTACTAGTTAGATAACATACAGACTGTCCCAAAAGTCCCGGACCGGTTTAATATTTTCTAAACGACAACAGATAAATCGATAAGATTTGGTACATCAACACCACACCTAAAAATATACTTTTTTAAGGAAATATCAATTTTCCATCACATCATGGGGACGTCCCGCAATGAGTCAGAAGGAAATCTTAAATAGAAGCATAGGTTGACATGTACATAAAATTAAAGGTCTTTACTAGCAGAATATAATGCCGCAAATTTGAACTCAAACGGACAACCAAGTCAAGAATGACAGTGGTTCAAAGATTCATTTAATTTGCATTTGGGGGCACAGCCCTAGGAATCGGAAAAAAAATGTTAACGTAAGCATATGTCGATATGCACATCAAATTAAAGGTCTTCACTAGTAGATTACAATGCCGTAAATTCAAGCTCAAAAGAACGTCTGAGTGAAAAATGGCAGTCGTTCAAAGATTCAAAATGGCAGGTTCAAGAAATCTTTGAACGGCTGCCATTTTTTACTCAGGCGTTCTTTTGAGCTTGAATTTACGGCATTGTAATCTACTAGTAAAGGTCTTTAATTTGATGTGCATGTCAACCTATGCTTTTATTTAAGATTTCCTTCTGACTCCTTGCGGGACGTCCCCATGATATGACAGAAAATTGATAGTTCCTTAAAAAAGTAGATTTTTAAGTGTGGTGTTGATGTGCAAAATCTTATTGATTTTTCTGTTGTCGTTTAGAAAATATTAAACCGGTCCGGGACTTTTGGGACAGTCTGTATATTGTTTAATGATAAATTAACATAATCTAATAATATTTGTATACTATACTCTAATACATGCTATGTCTGTTCGTGACCATGTATAAAAACTACAACATTTTCAAAAGCTTATTTCGAAATCCACTGCTAGGACTTTCTTGAAAGTTTGGAATTAGGGACTTTTTGCCGAAAAACAATTAGCCTAAGCCCTACATCTGCTTAGTTAAAGATTCTTCACCCTCTACAAACTCAGAATGTTTTTCAAGGCATCTAATTGCTAATGCCATGTCAATAGCTATAGCTGTGGCCACTTGATTAGGCATTCTTAGGCAATGTGGTACTTTTTTTTGTCCTAGGACGCTAGGCACGAGCCTGGGATTGTTTTTCACATTACTTCAGGCTAGACCTAGGGGTTGCGGCATTATCACTTAGATAAAATCCATTGGTGTCTTGGCGGGGATCGAAACCGGGACCCCAAGGACTGAAGTCCCGTGCTCTAACCACTACGCCAGTTCTCCCCCCTAGTGCCTGTTTTCCTAGTTGGTTGACCATCAAATAGAATGCTTTATTTTTGACTAACATTTTTATTCTCAGTACAACGATCTTTTTCACACATATTAATTCTAAAAATTCCTGGCTAATCAATTCCACAAACCAGCACCATTATTTATATAGTTGTTGACTAAACAAACTTTAGTGTGTTGTAGCCATGAAGGACGTATCAACAATGTTTTATTCTCTGCAACACTCCCACCTTTCCAAGTAGTGAATGCAAATAGCAGACACTAGGTTGTGTTTGGTACAAAGAACTATTGTCTATTTACTCTTTGTTGTTCATCACTGATCTGTGATTGATTGTTCTTTCAGACGCAAATTTTACTTGCAAAAGAATCCCCTCAAATGATATGATAGACAGCTGCGTTTCATTCCAAAATACCTTAAATTTATATTTTTTGAAATTTTTTCACTTAATACACTGTAACAGTTCAATATTTGATAAGGATTTTTTATGTTGTGTATAGATTATTAAAATGTAATTTTACAAGTTTCTGGAACTATATTTTGGGCAGTGATGAGATATTGTTAGAAGAGAAGTTAAGTGTACCCCTTTAGCAAAAAGTGTGGAACAAGTTAATTTCTTGTTGATTTTTGATTCAGTTTTAAAAGCCTCTTCAAAATAAGAGTGAAATATTTGTAATCCAGCTACTTGGAGGTCACAAATTGTTTGATATTAATAGGCATGATTTGTAGATGCAATACTCCCTGGTGTGGATTAACGTCCGCATTAGGGAGTACTACGACTATCCTAATAATTAAACAGCATTAGCCTACTATCCTGATAATTAAACCAATTCGTAATATAAGTCCAAAATGTGGTTCAGTTTCTTCTATAAACTGTTGTAAGTCCCTTAGTTGCCATTGGCTGTATTAGCTATTAATTAACAGCCCTGTTTAAGAATGCCGAAATTGGTCAGTAACAAGACTACAAGATCACGCCACTCATCCTACTCTCATCTCCATTTATCCTTGGCTTAAAATACCTACCTTTGTATGGTCGCCATTTCAGATAAAAGTATTAAAAATAAGTATCTGGCCGCTATCTCCATCTGACACTTGCGGTAGAAATTGTGGTTGGCGCTGAAAACTACTTTGAATTGTAATAACGGTTGCAGATGCCTACAGTTAAAGTCATATAGTGTATCATAAAGCTAAATAAATGAAAGTCAATTCACACAAATTCTGTGGAGTGACTTCAAGACAAGACAGAAAGAATACTCTTGATGTTTGCAATATAGTTTCACTGTAGTTGTTTGGTTTGTTGTGCAGGTTCCTGATAGAGCACGGGGCCAATGTGGCGTCAGTCAACAATGACGGTGAACTGCCAGTGGACATTGCAGAGTCCGACGAAATGGAGGATATGCTGCAACAACACATAGACGAGCAAGGTAAATCATACAAACATACTCATCATCAAATGGGCTCTTGGCTTACCCCAATAGTTATTTTTTAAATTTTATCTACATATAGCACAAACATTGGAGTACACACAGTTTAAAGGAATACTAGCTGTGAGCCCGTTCTAGACGTACAGGAATTGATTAAGCAGTTAAAACTGTATATAATTCAGAACAGCTATTTTACACGAGCTATAACACAAATTCTGACAGTTTTCTTGTGAAAAATCTTCTTTTAATCAAAAGTTACGTGACCACCTTTATTTCATCGTAGGCATCATAACATTAAACAGATAAGAAATATTTTTTTCAATTTTCGAACATTTTTTCAGTCACAGTCCCCTTAAAGCTGGGTTTTCCTAAGCCAGAAGAGGAAGCGGAGGGCGGAAAAGAGATTAACATGGTGTTAAATCAAACCCCCTTTTTTATAATTTTTTGCTGTATGTGTTAACTTGTTGCCTACTAGGCATCGCACTCCAAGTACGATAACACTTGGTGAATTTTCAAAAGAGATTAATGATCAAACAAACAATATTATTTCACTGTCACCTAAAGCGACCAAAAACTACGTTTTAATAGAATGAATATTATACAAATATTGAACATGTAGTTTAGTCAAATGATATACTTATGTGTGCAGGCATAGACTGTGACGAGGCCCGCAATGAGGAGGAGCGTATGATGTTGAAGGATGCAAGGGAGTGGTTGGCGATGGGAGAGATACGTGAGGAGTTACACAGCAAGACAAGAGCATCTGCGTTACACGTGGCTGCTGCCAAGGGCTACATCAATGTCATTGAGTAGGTGTTGTCGTTTGTACAAGATTCAGAAATGTTAATTTTCACCGTACTTGTTTGTTTTAAATTATAAGCAAAAATTGAGACATTCTTCTTCTGTTGATATTCTATTGTTATTCTAATGTATTTTGTTTCACCTGAAAACATTGTTTTATAGCTACTCGTGGTCATTTTAACCTCAAAGCCTTTAGTAGTACTCCTCAATTTAATCCATCAGCCTTGGACAATCCTAACAACTGAAGGCCATCAATTTCTTTAATTTCGTTTAGCCTCAAGATCACATTTTCTAGTACTTTCAACCTTCTTTGGGTTAGAGATGGACAAACCAGTCATAAGTGTGAAGAAGCAGTTTCCCATTCATTTGCCCAAAATTGTTATCAGTCTGTTTGATCAAGTTTCCATATGGCCAGTCAACAGCCCTACATAATATAGACAACAACTCCTTTCCAGTCCGTTCTAAAGGGCTCTATCGGAAGGTTTCTCAAAAAGTTGCTATGCTCAGATTGTATTGATGCCATGTATTGGTTGACTGTGCTAGTCCTTGTATTGACCACTTACTATGTTCCAGACTACTGCTGCAGGCGGGTGCTGATGTAGACACTCAGGATGCCGACGGTTGGACTCCCCTACATGCAGCAGCCCACTGGGGTCAAAAGGAATCATGTGAAATGCTGATTCAGCATATGTGCGACATGGACACTAAAAATCTTGTTGTAAGTAGGATCTGAAGCGGTGTAAAATTACTCATCTTAGTAGATACAAAGCTAATTGTTGATAGATAGCTTAGTTGTCAGCTTCTTAGACATTGGTGGGAGAGTGACGGGTCTGATTTCACATACCCACACAAAGTTGATAGGTTTCAAATAGTGATGAGCCGATACTAAAATTTATCGATTCTCGATCCTTTGAAATTTTAAAACATGTTCTTCTCTGATCAAGTGTTAACGTTAACTGAAATTGTAACTATTATTGTAAAATTGTAATGATTGAAGGCCACTCATATTTAATACATGCGTGTTTCCAGGGTCAGACAGCCTTTGACGTGGCAGACTCGGAGATGGTGAAGGTGCTGGAGGAACTGAGGAAAAAACAAGAAAGTTTAAGGAGAGAGAAGGGAGACCTGATCATCAACAAGCGGCACAGTCAGAGGTACACAAACTCAACATTTGTTTACTCTACTGGCAAAAAACTCAATACAGTACAGTCCCCAATACTCGGAGTAATGTAGACTGAAAGGGCGCCGAGTCTGAATATGGGCCAAATTTAAAGCTGATACAGATTTTGGCACAGTTTCCTTTTCTACTACTTTTGTACATACTACTTTTAAAATGCCATAATGGTAAAATAAAAAATTCAAGATTAACTTTGTTGAAAAATGCTTGACTTACTTTTTCTATAAAATGGAGGTTATCGAGCTGACTGACTCCCTAGGCTACTAGATGACCCTATGGTCACCAGGTATCCTGTCTGTAAGAAGTGCTGATTCCATAATGGCAAAGACAATAATTTATTGCTGAGCAATTGAAGCTGAGTTTTGTAGTTTGTTACCATCAGGTTGTAGTCAATTAACCTCAGTTTAATATTGTTCAAAACTTACCTAAGAATTCATTACCTGTTCTTAAACAAATCTGGGCTGCTGGGGTTATTGAATGCAGAGTTTGTCGGACTTTGTTTAGCAATAAAATACTTATGTGGTTTTATCCCTACGGATGCTTAAGTACGTGCAACCACCACCAGTACTCATTGTGATTTTAAAATTATCTACTGATGTAACAAAGATACAAGGCTTTCATGTCTTTGACCAAAGATTGTTAGACACCTGATCAATGTTAAATATACACCCATAGTGCTTATTTTCCCCTACTCCCTTGGCCATAAAAATCTTAGAAGATACTTGGTCCTACATACTAACTACCTCCACTTCCTGAGATCCTCTGTGTATTCTTCATTGGCTTTTAACAATATCGTGCCTTTTGTTACTTTATGTTTCCACCTTCTAAGTGTCCAGGGGGTCTTCTTCTATTCAGGGTTTCCCTCCATATTTGTTTTATCATAGCTTTATGTCTTCTCTCTTTACATGGTCGGTCTAACTCAGGTGTTTGCTTTTTGCCTGATTTTGCTTGTTAAAGCATTAGGCCTACAGCTATTCTCGCTTTCAGAGACAAACGATAAAATCCTGGAAGAACATGTTAACTGCCACCAGTATATAATTATAAAAATATCTTAATTTAATATTGAAAAAAATTAATTGCAACTACCACTCGTACACTTGTTGCAGGATATTAGAAAAGGCTAAAGAGAAGGAACGACAAATGAATGAGGAAAATACACCTATTGAGATCGTGCCTCAAGTACAACTGAAGATCCAACCTGAACCTAGTGAAGACAGCAGAGTTGGTGAGTTATTACTGGTATTTTTGTTTTATTTGTGTGGAATAACAATATAATTTATCACAATTAGTGTTTTAACTATTATGCATTAGAATGGTCAATAAGAGAGTTCTTAAAATTGACAAAGCTAGGTGTACCCGATAATATTAAATATATACTAGACAAAACTCGAACTTAAATATTCCACATATGAACATAAAAAAATAATTCAATTTCACAATTGATTAAAGTAAACTTGATTTGGAAATAAAACTTTTTAGTCACAATCATAACATCAAAAAGGTTAGTTTAAACATCCAACTGTTCTTCAGGCAATATAAAAAAAAACTCCTTTAAAGGAATACAAAAACTTAATAGAAGTATGGGGTATATGATACCTCAAGAAGCTTTTGTTTTGATATAAAATATTTTATTCATGACAGTTCATCACGGCAATAAATATTGCTTGAGGCAAATCAGTTAAACTTTTCAATCTGCTGACACTTTGTTTCTACAAATGTTAGGAAGGTGACATTTTCACAGAGTATTTTCAAAACCTGTTGTAAAAACTGTGTACAGCTTCAAAGCTAGTTTACATTGCCTAGTAATATTTAATCAAACGTCTAAACCCCTTTGTAGGACATTCTGTAAATTACTACTGACTGAGTCAACAATATGTTCGTACAAGTATACAATACCTCACGATGGACACATAATTAAATAAATACAATACACTTTTTAACATTATTATTTCATGGTCTTAATTTTTTACTAACAAAATATAATACTGATATTAAATGTTAATAATCTCGGAATTGTAAGAGACTAACATTGAAATAAATACTCATTTGGATGGATACTATCATCATTATTATAGTTGTATAAATAATTTGGCAACTTATCTAGAGATAAAAAATGATAGGATCACTACTCACCAAGTAGAATTTACTTTCCATGAAGAATTAATTGTAATGTTACAAGCTGCATTAGAAGACGAGGAAAGTGATGATGATGACACATCTGATTCATTGGATAGTTCCTATGATGATGATGATGATGACTCTTTAAGTTATGATATTTATGAGGAGGGTGAGTTTGCCGGAAACATCATTTTCAGTCGCTTTTAATTTATTTAACAGTTGTTGAATTGCTTCTTAGCTGCAATAATTTTGTGTTGGCATAATTCAGCTGTACATAGATATGCTTAAGTAATTTGATGACTTGAAATTTTGTTGATTGCGCCTGTAGGTTTTAAACGTATTAATTATAATTTTCCTTTTGTAAGTATTATTTTTAAGTTATTTGGCTAGTTTATACATTTTAGGTTATTTAGAGTGTAATTTAAATTAAGGTACGGAGTATTGTCGTTTAAGGGAATGCTAAAATAAATAACTATTTTATTAACTACTTGATATTGCTATACCATGTCAAGCACATTTAGAACGATTTTCATACATAAGAAATCCTGTGGGTTTTGTAAACCTAATTGGAAATTCAGATGAGTTCTAATATTTATTGGTCTGGCATTTCTTGTATTTGACTATGCTGCACACTTGTCACACTTTTCCCAACTTTTAGGAAATAGGTAGGCCTAGTTATTCCGTATTATATGAACCGTACATTATATGAAGACCATAAAAAAACCCATCGTTAACTTCATAAAAATCAAGTTTCTGATGAGATAAATGTTTAAAATATTTCCCTCAATCATGTTTTTTGCTCTGAAATCCAAAATTTAAGTCTTCAATTTCTTTTATATTGTTTATATAAGTCAAACAAACAAGTCTACTTATGTCTCAACCTTTTCAAATCTGTGTTGAAATCTTCATCTATATAACTAGGTATATTGTAGTGTTCTCGTAGATTTGTTTAAATCATCGACAATATACTACTGAAAAGCCATCTCAATAGTCTCTTTTACATTCCCTACCAATTTACAAGAGAATGTGGTATATGATACCTCAGGAAAATATGTGAGATACAGAGCAGTGTAGGTATACCTGGTGGTGGGTATTATACCTGGTGATCTCCCATGATAAGTTCCTATATTGTGAAAAAGGTATGACAAACTGTCAGTTCCCTCCATGCAATGCCAATTACTTTAAACTTAAAGTAAAATTGATTTTTATTTCAGAAAAGAACAACAGAGTCAACAGAGACGAACAGACTAGGATACAAAATTCAACAGAAGTCGCAAAACAAGTTCCTATTACACCCGTAAGTTTGGTTGTTGTTTCTAGAAAAACCTGTTTTATCTAAGTTCACTCTCTCATTGTTTTGGTAACAAACACTGTATCCAAGTTGTATAATGCAAGCTAATGATCCCTATGTCTCGTTCTAATAATTAAATGTCTGCTCAAATTACAGTAAGTTTTTCTTTATAAATTTCATATAGGTATCTAACTTACTTAAAAATTGGATTTATGTGATGATAGCAGTGGTGTTACCAGAAAGGAACGAGTCCAATCCGACATAAGAAAGACCCACTTTACACTATGCACTAAATATAATATTTCACTGTGATTGACAGTGTTTTCATTTAAGGAAGACATGAGTTGAAGAGGAAAGGAGGCATCTTACTTTCTAATCAACCCATGCCCACCTTGGAAAATGCTATATAATATGTTTCTTTTGCCATATTAGACTAGATTCCATTTAGTTAAGCTTGATACCCTCACAAAAAATCCTTAAAACCTATGTGCTCTGTGTTACATCCTTTATTTGAGAATCGTAAAATGGTCTTGAAACAATGTATAGATTGTGTCAATTAGAATGGTGGGCCTGAGGATGAGGACCGTTTCCTCACCACTGTCCCTTTTGTCAGCGTATGGTGACTCTCAATGTTAACCTTCCTATCATCGCTCCCTACATGCCATCCTAATTTACACAATCGTTACTTTCAAGATACTGGACATTTTTTCCTGAGACCTAGCTGAACTCTTTTATCACTTAAAAATTAAAAAAAATAAACTCCTCAATCAACCAATTTGCTTTATTTACCTGCAGTTATACACCTAAAATCCGACCCTCAGTTGAAGTAATTATAACCTCAATATCTTTATTACTGCTGAATCCAAAATACTCATACTTGATCTTTTTTAGCGAATTTCCCATATAGTGAATAAGCTATTACTGTATTACTCATGGTAAGATCTGGACCCGGGACCGATTTACTTTTTCATTTTGAGGTCCCCAGAGGCCAAAAACACCATATGCTCAAATTTATATATATATGTGTCCGTTAGCACAATAACTCGAGCAAAAATGATCCGATTTTGATGACATTTGGTATAAACATGTAAACCTACATTTATTTGGACGAGTTCACGAACCAGCATGATCGGACTATGGGAACAGGGGTTTATGGGGGGTTTTATGGGGTAAAAATTGATTTTTCCCATTTTTTACCCTAAAACGTACAATTTTGCAATTTCTTTCCAAACCATTTTGTAGAGCTTAAAAAACAAATAATTTAATATATATATAGCTTTTTTATGCACCTATAGTTACGGAGGAAAAAAAATTAAATTCCCATGTTATTCTTATGGAGAATAAGTAAACTGTTGTATTTTGCTTGTTTATGAACATAGTTTTATCAAATTTGGAAAATTTATTAATTTCATATCACATAACACATTTTTACTTTCCTGGTTGCAGCAAACCTACGTACGGTACTCGTTAAACCAATACTATTTAAATGAGGGATAATGTGATATTTTTAAGGAGATATTTTAGAGTGAATCCAATCAGGCAAATATAAATTTTGCTTAGTGTACAGGTAAGCTGCGTCGGGGGCATTTTTATTTTTAGTTTACAATGTGTGTTTGGTTTTTCCAGGCTCCCAGTTCGCCGCCCAAGCAAGGCACAGCGGAGAATGACGACTCAGTGACTCCTTCTTGGAGGCGACCAGGCTCCTTCAGAAGTAGAGGCGGAGGAGATTTATCTAACAAGACACTACCTCTGAGTAAGTATTGACAATGTGTAAACTACAAGATGATTAGATTGGTCATAGACAAGATACTTTAGGTCAAAGTAGACTGACCTGGGTCTTCTGGAGAATACTGTGTCCAACAGGCAAAAAACCAGCTGGCATCCATATTTTGGAGAAGCTACAATTTAATGACGTTCCCGAAGACCAAGATGTAACTGGGCTATGCAGAATCATTACAAAAAATAGTATTCTTAATTTGGCATGGTAAACAGCATACTGTAACGTTCTTGGTATCCATTAATGATCCTGAAGGGATGAAACTCACACCCAAAATCAATGCTAATCCTATTAGGTTCAAAGAAAAAGTCACATTTCTGATTATGACATCACCGTTTGGACACCATAAACAATGGGGTTAACAGAACAGTTTCATCAAAGTTTTCCTAGAAAATCCAAAATGAACCATTTTGCGTCTAGGGCCCAATAAAAGCTTTGTTAAATTACTTAACATATGAATAAACTGTTTAAAACACTACTACTAGTTATCATGAACTGCTATTGTGAGAAGTAGGCCTACACCAATTTATAAAGGTACAATACCTTTAGGGCTGAATTGGGATTTCAAATTAAAGATTACTAAAATCATATAACTGTTAATTCAAACACACCGTTAGCCTTTAAAAAATAAAATCATAGTTTAACAGTTAACTGTAAGAAGGACATGTAAAGGTGAAGGTGATGAGTTGCCCTTGAGTTACCTCATGTAGCTTTAAAAGGTAAGTCAGGATTCCTGTAATATGTGGAAACTCATATGCCACTGGCCACAAACAATGTATCACTTCTGTACAGGAGTCTTAGCCTCCACTATCAGGTTGTATGTCACTATCTTGCTTTGTATTATTTTACCATGGGGAATAATAAAAAAATCTCATATTTAATTGGTTCATGAGTTAAATTTCATCAAGCAAGCCCAACAAATTAACACAAGTTCTAGACAAAATATGTTTTTATTGAGTTTTAACTTTTTTGTTACATTAGAAAGTTCTTTTTTATTCTATAGTAACACTTTTAGTTTGTAGTTTGGCTTTTGAACCAAGGTATTAAATATCCAGTTAAATTTAAAAAAGTATAAGTCATTCAATATGTTTATTGTTTGCAGAATTAAGTTTCAACACAAGAAATAAATAGGTGGTTTAAGTTTGGCTAACAAATTTGTTTGATACGAACCAAACTTTTTAGACCTCTGTGCCAGTTTAAAGATATATATATAGGTTTTGATCAATAATTTAAAATATTTTTATATGACAAATGTGTTTTAGATCTTTTAACAGCAATATAATCTATAATATTAAAACGAAACAGTGTTTTTTTATTTCACGATTCTGAATCAACCACTCGACGGATTTTCATGATTTTTGTGTTGAAATTGAAAGAAAGATAATTTTGAGAACTAGGGAATCTCAAAGCCATAATTTTAGTTTAGGGTCCCAGTTTTTTAGAAATTAAGTTTTAATTGTTAAAAAGTCTAGCAGCCGACGCTAAGATTCTAAACTAGCTTTTGGCATAAAATAATTTGCTTACCATAACAGCTGTAAACATTCAGCTTTTGTGTCACAAATTAAGCATTTGGATAAAAATGTAAAGACATACTTAGGGTTGACTATTTATACTATGTTTAATGCTAATCATTGATACGTTCAATTCTTCTGTAAGAGGATGACAGATTAATTAAATATACATAGTAAAATACTAGGATGTTCAAATTATTTTTTAAAGCAATCTTTGTAATCTTCGATTTGTTTTAGAGCACTATAATTTGTTTTAACTAACAGCTGGTTAAATATAAACGATGGAACAATGAGATTATTTTATTTACTCTTATTTTGTCATTGATTGTAGGAAATAAGTAAGATTAGTAGAGATAATTAGACCTCAGTTTAAACCACAGTTTTAACCAAAATTAATTAAACCACAGTACAAATCGAGGCTCTGTACATGAGTCTTAATAAAAAAGGATAAATGCAAATTATTTTACTGCTCCACTTTTCAAGGAAAGATTAGAAAAATAACAATGTTTACATGTCTTAATTCTTAATGGTAGCCTTTTGATTACAATTAATGTTTGTCTGCTTTAACTTTGTTTGGATTAGGCCCGGAAATATTGATGTCATAAAAAGAAAGATCAAGAATAATCAGGAATCACGATTTTAAATTACCACCACAACCTCAGCCGGGTTTTATACAAAGATAAACAGATGGATGATATAGATTGAACACAACATCAACATTGACCTAGGATACTGCAATTAGACAAACCATCCTTTTATGAAATCGTGTTCAGTTGTGGTTACGTTTGGGGGCGCCTATATCAGCGCCCCCAAACAAGAAAATATCACTTTTATTTCAACTATGAATATATTGTAGTTTAAATTAACTAATATAAGAAATTACGATGTACGTTTATTCAATGAGGGTGGGTAATTATCAAGGATAGAACTGATAACGGTATGGATAATAAACATTGACAATTACGTCATTAGCTTTACTAGCGTAGCGTGTTTACTTTTTATATTCCTGCTACATGTGACCAGTTCTTTTTTTCAAATGAATGTTATTTGAACCAAACAGCTGTTTCAAAACAAACTGTTATTGTTTTTACTTTTCTTTATTTACGCTTATTTATTTAGCAATTAATGCAGTGAAATTGTTATAAAGGATAGGTGTGACGATTAGTTTTGATGTTAGGACACCAAAGTTAAATTATGTGTACTGTGAATTTTACTGGATACTATCGTTTTATTTTAGGTAGTTTCTATTCAGACCTACTGGAAATTGTGTATAGTAGTTGTATTGTGGTGATAATAATTATGGAAAAGGGAGGTATGCTATGGAAGGTGGTATTGTTGACTAGGTCTATACACTTCTCAATTGACTATTACTCTCTCTACTGGAGGCTACTTATAATCAGTGTGCGTCTGTGCGAATTGGCTGCAAATCTCACTTCAACGCTTTTCACATCGTAAAAATTGCAGAATTGCTGTTTTATTGTAAAATTATCGGATTTAAAATGCATATCGTATAGGCCTATGATGGAATGAAAACATATTTGATCACACAACATTTGTTTACAAGATGATTTTTCACATTAAAACTGCAAGAAACTTTGTCTTTATATGTGTAAACTAGCTGATCTGAATTGTACACGGTTTTAACTGGCTACTGAATTCCCGTACGTAGGACGGGCTAACACCTCGTTGTAATAATGTCAAATTGTTCCCATCTTATATTTGTTCAGGTACCTTTAATATGTTGTCTTTCACATTCCGTTATTGATAGCTTCAGATTGTTACATGCTTTGAGGAATAACTTTGTTTCTAATATCCGTAAACAATGTTTGTAGCGTAAGCTGAAAAGATGACCAAGTGTTAGATAACAGTAATACAGTAACTTGTAACATTGTCACAAGCTACTCCCCACCTAAATATATATTGTCAGTTCATTTTTAATTTATTTTGATTAGTTCTTTTTTATTTACAAATTCCTTGAACGCTTTTATTTTTAATTCAAGGTGTTTTTGTGTGTGTTTATACTTGTGAGGTTTTTATCAAAAAGGAATTACAAACACTTTCAATGGGAATGGAATAGATAGTATATTTGTGGGCGTACCAAGAGTCAAAGGCTATCTCCCTCACCAAAGTTATAGACGGCAAACTACTTTTCTAGCAACACACCATTCTTTAACCTAGTAATTGTATACAGCGTGGTAATAAAGTCCGAAGACAGTTTAATATTTTAAAAAATAATGTAGATAGAGCTACAATACTTGGTACAAAGTTACAGAGCATAAAACTTTATTTTAACACATATTCAGTGATCCAATAACTCTTCGGGGGACGGCTCACAAGGAGTCGGTCGAAAATCTTAAATGGAAGCATAGGTCAGTATGCTACACACTTCAAAAGGTTGATCCTGGGCAAAATGGCAGCCGTTCAAAAATTTCTTGAATCTGCCATTTTGTAGCTTTGAACGACTGCCATTTTTTACTCAGGCGTTCTTTTGAGCTTGAATTTACGGCATTGTAATCTACTAGTGAAGACCTTTAATTTGATGTGCATATCGACCTATGCACGTCGATTACGTTAACAATATTTTTCCGATTCCTGAGTAAGCGTATAATAGCAATGCAAATTAAATGAATCTTTGAACAACTGTCATTCTTGGCTCGGTTGTCCGTTTGAGTTCAAATTTGCGGCAGTATATTCTGCTAGTAAAGACCTTTAATTTGATGTACATGTCAACCTCTGCTTCTATTTAAGATTTCCTCCTGACTCCTTGCGGGACGTCCCCATGATATGACAGAAAATTGACATTTCCTAAAAAAAGTAGATTTTTAGGTGTTGTGTTTACGTACAAAATCTTATTGATTTATCTGTTGTCGTTTCGAAAATATTTAACTGTCTTCGGACTTTATTACCACCCTGTATAGTTCACTTGTATTGTAGTGGTAATAATCACATTTCCCCCCTAGGGATAGGTGAGAATGAGCCAGCAGAGAAGATAACCTCTCCTACAGGACCTCCCCGAGTCATCGCTCCGGAGGAGAAGGACAAGGAGATCGGTCTGAGGCGCACACAGAGCTTCGAGGCGGACGAAAAGCAAGTTACAATTCAGTCTTGTCTAGAGCTAGTTTGTTGTAGATTCAGATTTACTATTTGTTTTAAATTTGTCGTTAATAACTGCAAGCAGTAACAATTTTGATTGTGTTGTTGACTGATTTTTTAATGTTTTTGTATGGGTGTCTGCTGAAGAATTACCCAATTAAATTATTAGTTGAAGTTTGCTTCAAAACGAAACGTTATCCAGTAAGCTTGAGACTAAATTGGAATTGATCCAAAGATTGAAAGATTTGTAACATAATCCAGAATGATTGAAATACATAAAGAGGGGTTTTGTACCTCAAAAATCAACCTTTATTTTTTTCTCTGTTTAAACATTGAAAAAAACGTTACTCTGAGCATCTGTCTGAACTTTTACTCATTAAAGTAGGCCTAACTTGAAATAGCTTATTTTGTAGGTGTTTTTATTTCATACACCAGTGGCATTTTACAAGAGGTCAACGTGAGAATAAAGTTTTGTGGATGTGCCGTGAATTGATCCCGTCTATCCCTTACCAAAGCCCGAGACGCTAACCACTAGGTTAGCAACACACCCAATTTACAAGTGTTCTATGATGGAGATAATTATCGTTTTTTGGCAAGTATTTATTCCATTAAAGCATTTTGATTAAAACTAAAATGCTTCTTGTTCCCAGTAGTTGCATCAACTTAGGTATTCATTGAGCCAATAATAGGTGTTATACAAATACAATAAAGCAACTGGAATTTCTCTTAGCCTGCAGGTATGCTGTGACGGGGGTAGCTTTCACAGTAAAGCTGAAAATTAGCTAAAGCCAATCAGAACGTTTATGTTAAGTCATTCAATCTATGGTTGTTTAAATGAGCAGATACCCTGTAATGTTTACACTTTTGTTTTAAAATTTTTGCATTTTTTAGCCTACTAAAACTTATTGGCTTAGCATAATTTATTTTGTTCTGGCTGATAATGTGACTTAATGAATGTATTTAATTTTATTCCTTAGAAATCAAAGATGTGTTGTTCTCACGCCAAGCACTCAATTTGTTAGGCTATGTTGGTTTTGTGTAAATCTTAAACTGTCAATGGTTTTAATAATTCTCTGTGTCAACGTCGTTGTGATTCATAATCACACTGTACTGTCTGTGATACTAACTTATCATTGTTCAATGTTTGTTCATTATTTACATTCACTAAAAGTTTAATGAAAGTACTCCATATTCTCTCTTCTTTTTACTTTAATGCTAATAAGGTGCCTAGTAACTCTTTAATATCTTTCAAAATTTAAGTACTTTCAACACAATCAATAATTAAATTTTCAATAAATATCAATCCGATACCATTTTCATAATCAGTCTCATTTTCATCATTGGTTGTCAACTAACATAACCTAAGAGTTAGATAGCAAAAGTTACTAGTTGGTAAAATCACTGTGCAAATTTTAATAATTGTTATGCTACAGTATATCAAAATTGCCCCACTTGAATAATTTAATCAAACAGCGTTTTTTTAGGAAATACCTTGGCGTGGATTGTGGTTATTACAATTAAGGAATAGCAGCTAGCTTATCTAAAGAAATTCCTGGTAGACTATAGTACACACAGAATACTCTGGAAAACACATAATTTTCTGACCCCTGAGACTTGGTCTCTGTACACTTTGAAATTTGAATCTTTGAAACTTGTTTTGAGAAAGTCCCTAAGGAGATGAAATGTTGTCTCTTTTCTACCCATGTCCTACCTGGACTTTTTCTACAGTAAGCTATATCTTCATTCTAAAAATCACAATTATTATGTATTATTTACATCACAAGACATGGAGGTAAGTGTGTTGTGTTGCTTGGCATGAGCATGTTGCTGCATGTGGCAGGTTCTACCGCCGCTACCTGGAGCTGAGAGCCAAGATCAATGCAGGGACGTCGTGTCCCACGCTGCATCCCCCGCACACCCCCGGTCGCACCCCCACACGCTCCGCCTCGCTCAAAGAGAAGTGCTTCCCGAGGTATATAGTGCACTAATCTTATGATCAAAGTTACAAAATAGGTTTATTGTTGATTACGGGATGGAACTGAAGATAAATTGTGTATTACACAATCTTAACTCCCCGCTGACACTAAGAGTTTAGTTTATCATCAAGATTCACTAAAGAGGATTTCTCTTTTGTCCATACATCCAAAAAATGTTGAATTATTTGGGATGTTTGAGGTTGATGATGCAACAATAGACATAAGGGTTGGATTTTAGGCTATTTTGGGGAAATCAGGTTTATCTTGAGTGAGGAAGAAATGTGTCGTCAGGTTCAATGGTGGCCAGAAAATTGTTGACTTGGAAATGGTATAAATGATGTGGAATTTTTAAAATTTGTATGTGTTGTGTTATAATTCTACGAGAATGGTCTCTTTTATATTCAGGTAAGTCACAAACAAAAATCCTTTAAACTTAGGCCCTTCTGCTCTTTTGTAACAATATTGCCCTAAAACATTCAAAATAATTGAGAATTAGTTAGTTGTTCAGATGTACAAATTGCACTTTTTGGAAAGAATTCTTGTTAGTAGGATTGATAAGAAACTAAAATCTTAGTGCTGAAGTAGAATTCAATTGCATGGACATGAGTTATATTTTAGCTTTTTTTCCTCGGTCAAAAATATCAGCTGCAAGAGAATTAGGCAATTTCCTTGCTTTCCCGTAAAACATTTACAATAATTTGAGAAATAAAATACTCATATTTGACTTGTTATTCATACCATTTAAACCAGCTTTATTTACCACCGGTAGGTACACTTAACCAAATGTTAAGTATGACTACACCAAATCAAACAAAGAACAGGTGTTGCTATTATAGCAGACCTGCTCTGTCCCAGTTAAGTTCTTGTCTGTTCTCGTACCAGTTCTATCCTGCAACACAAGCGGTGTAATGCAGCTCAGTGAAAAACATTTTATTTGTATCAAGTTGTCAGTAAATCTCTCAACAATGGAGAGATACACAGTGTGTTTTGAATGGATTGTCCATGAAATGATCAAATGCAGGTGAGTGTTAAGGGTTAGCACTGTTGCACACTACTAACAGTCAATCAATGCAATTGTATTTGTTTTTCATATTGAATTAAATGTGACTAACTATTTTTTGTGTGTGTCAGTATTTGGTTTGATTGATGCATACTAATTATTCGTAATCTTTTGTTGATTTCACATACCGCATTGATAAGGGACTTGTTATTTTGGTAGATTTGTTTCACAACAGAAAACCAATAGGGATTGATCCTTTTTATCATGGTTTTCAATGGAGTTATTACTACTAAAATTTTGGGTTGGTTTTTCTTAAAAATATTGTACTTCTATGAAAAGTTATATTAGACATTTAAACATGTTTTATTGATCACGTTTCTTACACTGTTTCAGTAGCTCAGTAAGGGCTTGCTTTAAAACAGCTTGTAAGATATAAGATAACTGTAAAGGGAGAGGAAGTAAAAACAAAATCAGATGTTGTAAGTAATAAAATCAATCGTTAGGTAAAAATAGGTATTTCCCTAAATAGCCTATTTTTTTTACAATAAGTAATTAGTAATTTGCTGGATGAAACAATTCACCAATAATTTTTTTACACTATAGATAGATGTTTAAAATCCATTACTGAATACTAATTGTAAAAAAGTAGCCTATTTAGGGAAATATCCATTTCTTTTCAACGATTTTGTTATTATAAAAATCTATTTCTTCTCTTCAGGGAAATTTACTTCAATAAGACAAATAGTCCACCAAACACGGACCAAAAAATTAACAAGACTTGATAGAATATGTTTGAATGTTGTTCATTTCCTCCCAAAAGGTAGCACCATTTTGAGCATGCACCTTACTCGTGACTATACACTTGAATTGAGTTAATTTTTTACCAAAGACCGTTTAATTTTAACAGTCACAAAACCCTATTTGAGAAAATCTTGTGCAAACATAAATTGCCAATGTTGTATGTGTTGGTTTCAGGAGGGGATTGGTGCGAGAGGACACTCGGTTGCCACTTCCCCCCTCCACCCCAGCTCTAGTCATCCCTCCCACCTCTACAACAACCTCCCCCTCTGCTACTACCCCTACTTCCTCTCCCTCGTCAGCTCCGTCCACACCTACGTCAACGTCCAGCCCACAATCTCATCCTAGCATACGCAGGTATGTGCCAGTTCTACATTTGTTCATAGTTTTAGTTAAAGTTGCATAGATTAATAGACTTAAGCATAATACCATTAAGTTGTGAAAAATGTTATTGATTTTCTATCAAGATTTTAAATGTTTTAATATTTATTTCAGAGTATGAAATTGGTTCGATATATTCCCCAGTTGTAGTATTCTCAGTATGTGTTGACATTTGGTTAAACTTAAGTTCAAGTTGCACACATCCAAATATATTAACATATGCTAAACAAGTTTACATGCCTGCCGCAAACCGCCGTAGAAATATAGGACATTAAGAAATCTTTGTTCAAAAAAAAGAAAAAAAAAAATGTAAATTATTTGTTTGTTAGCCTTATTGTATCAATTGGACCTCACCGACAAGTTTTATAAACTTGGTGAGGCCAGGCTGTTGTAATTTTCAGAATAAATATATTTGTATTTGTATTTTGTATTGTATTTGTATTTGTAAAGCTAAATTTCAAAGTTTTAAAGATGTACTTGAGTACAGAAAATTGGTTAGGTATCTTCCCAGTTGTGGGAATTATTGGAAATTTGTCACAATCATAAAGTGTTATTAGAAGGACTTAGCAAGATAGCTCAATTGGTGTAGATTGTGGATTAGTATTTTGAATCATCAAGTGTGAAAAGGAAAAGTAAATCCCAAGTTTATAAACAGTGATTTTCTGATATTTTCATGATCAATTGTTCCTTTGAGATCCATAAAATAACTGGACGATCCCATACGCAGTGTATTTTGCAGTCAATGATTAAAACAGGGGACTAGGTATTGTGATATTTGTCCTAAAAGGATGTTACAAAGCACTCTGTTCCTATTGTTTAGTACCCTTCAGTTGTATTTTTACCACATCAATACCTACAAGTATTTTATAAAATGAGTTTAGGTAAATTGATATTAATATTAATAATTTTACTAGACTCTTCTTGTCAATCCTGTTGGTGCTTATTACACATGAATAGTTTATTGTAGGATAATTAATAATCTGTAAATGTTATCTTATCATCAATGAAATAATTGTCTGGTTGTTAATGTTGAATGGGTTGACTATGTATTTATTTGGAAATAAATAATTAAATATTTTTGCAGAAACCCATAATGTTTTGTGACATTTATTATGTAATTTTGGTTGATTTTAAGTTCCTTAAAAAGGATTGGTATTTTGTAACTAGCGTGAAAAAAACTATTATTTTCAATATACATATAGCTAACAATATTCTCATTGGTCAGTTCATGAAAGAGAATAATATTTTCTCCATTGAAACTTTCTAAACACATCTCTGTTTGAATGCTTACAGTTTTTTTTTTTAATTTCTACACTGCGGGAAATTACAGACCCTGGTCATTTCTGTTTTGTCAGTGATTGAGCTTGTCACCATAACTCACTCTTACATGTCTCTCATTAGTCATTACCCATCTCATGCTATGCACTTCCCTTTGATGTTATATTATTTGTAGGTCAGAATGCAAGTAGTTATTCACTATTGAAAATACCCAATGTCTGACATAAAAACCTGAGTAGTTTAATTAACTGATTGATTGCCTAATTAGGCCTAGTTGTTTTTTAGACTTAGTAAGGGAGTAACAAATAGTTATGCCTAATAGATTCTCCTTTTAGTGGGTTTGAAATTTTGATAAAATTCAGTGGTAATATGTTTTGTCTGCATTTTTTCATATAGTCACGTGTTGTAATGTACTGTAATGTTTCATAGTTTTACCACTCCCTCACAATTTCAGCGGTGTAATGGCCATGATCACCGGAAGCCCTTTGCAGACCCCTACCACTCCTACAACTCCCGGGGGTAGCAAATTAAGTCCCGGAAACATCTTTAAAAATTTCTTCAAGTGCGTAAAGTCAAAAGATTTCTCTGTGTGATTTTTGTTTTTTTTTTGTTTATCATCTTTTTGCATGGCTTTCCGTGCCACTCTCTTGTTTCTCAAGACATTTTTGTTTGTTTTGTTTGCTTAACAAATTTGGATTTAAGCAGATTTTTATATTTTTTTGCATTACTTTGTTTTTAGCTATTCATAATTTTGTTCTTTCTAGGGTTACCATTACCAAGTGTAATTTTTATCCTACTACTGTAAATTCATCTTCTCATGTGACCATTTCCGTTTTGTATAATCCATTCTAAAATTATGACTAACGTTAGTAAAAACATTTTTTGTACTAAGTGATAAAACTGATTGTCAATCTTAAGCATATCTTATTGATTATAAAAACCTAGATGTTGTCCCTGTGGTAGTTAAGTATGACAAATTCATGCCAAATTAAATATGTCATACATTTATTTGAATTTTGATGAAAATATAGTAATGGTTTGGCAACATGTCCTAAGACAATTTTGAAGGTGATTCTTTGGCTTAAAGTATTAGTTGTTTTTAGATTAACAAATCTCTATTTTAAATGGTATCTAAAAAGTTGATAAAATAATTTTAATTATGTCCCCTGTAAAATTACTTAATGTCTATAAGAAGAAACTTGACCAAAATAAATTATAAAAAAATAAAAATTATAGACATTAAAAATACTAGAGGTTACTTAAATCACATGTGCATCGTATCGTTAACTTTTTTTGGACAAAAATCGTACTTGCATATGACTTCAATAGTTGCTCAACCAATCTCTCTTTGACACAAAAGCAATAATAATTAGTTAGAAGATTAATTAGAAGATCAGAACGGTTTTTGTTTTGTGTTCTCTAAATAGTATGCATGACCAAAATATAAATGATTCAGTCGCATGATGGTGAAATTCTTCCTTTGTTGTTGTTGAGTTGTCCTTTGTGTTTCCTGTCTATATTAGTCACCACCATTCCATTTAAACATTTCTCAAGTTTAAAAACATTTTTTGAGGGTTCAAAACTTTCTTTTGATGACACATTTCACAAATTATTTTTGATTTTTGGTATGTTGTTGTAGTTTGTTCTAATAGTACGGTTTATCAGGTCAGAAAACTTTCATCGTTCAATTTATTTTAATTTATTTATAGTTTGTAACAAATATTTTTTTGTTCTTTTAAAAACTGTTTGGACTAACTTTTTCCCATTTTACTGCTTGTTGCATGATACCAGATTGAACTCTGAATATGTATGCATCCAAAATTCAAACATTCTTAAAAACTCATCTTGTCTGAAATATCGAAAGTTTAGCAGAATAGCCAGGTAACTTAATCGGTTTTAACATGCAGTGAAGCCTCTAACTATTTGAACTCATTCATCTTAAATTATCTCAAAGAGTAAGTATCTTGATTACATTACACTATCATCAAATTTTATTGCATCATTTTGGGTTGTGGATTTTGAAAATTACTTACTGCCCCTGAAAAATGTTTTAATCTAATTATTTGACTTGGCACTTGCTTTAATTTATCTATGGTTTTTGAAATAAACGTTTTCAAATGTTATATGAGGTAATGTGATAGAATATACGATAATGCCAAATTTAATAAATGTGTCAAGTAAAAAAAAATTCTTCTTGCTGGCTACACTGCATACACTAATATTCAATTTCAAAAGAACTAACCGGTCAGCCAACAATCAATATGTTTACAGTATTCATATTTAAATATTGACAGTGATTTAGAATACATTAGCATAACCGCTCCAGGTCTGGTTTAAAGGTTTTCCCGGTTGTAAACACAGATTCTCAGCTGAGCACACATCAGCTGGTATTGGGGCACAGCTGATAAAGGAAGCAATTAAACAGCTGATTCATTGAGTGCCTCAGCCATGAGTGTAGGGAAAGTGATTATGAGTGGCCCAGTAGCCTAATGTTCTTGATATCTCCACACACGGCTACAGTGCATTGATAGGAACACATCCTTTGTCATATTGTTTTGTGTTTGAGTGGGGAGATTTTAGTTTGACATTTTTAGTTGAGGTGAGAGTTTTTCATAGTTTGCAATTTTTGTGTATTTTATGCTTTTATGAAAAATATATTATGAAACAAAATTTGTGTTTGAGGTAGAATAAATTTTGAACAGAAATTTTGAATATTTACATGTAAAACAAACCAAATGTTTTTTTTTATTGTAATATTTTTTCTCAGAATGGGTGTGCAATTAAAATTTCATCTTCACACTGATAAAAGAATTTGAAAACTTGTACTAGCTAAATTTGTAAACTTACTTGTGCTTGTGAGTTATTTATATTTTATTTAAATATATCTCTGAACCATAGTGTTTTCAGTCAGATTCATTACATTCAATGCCAATTATTCTCAACTAAAGGCTTATTGTTTTAAGCGGTGGGAGCCATATCTTTGCCACTTAAGCATTCTTATCAACCAATAAATTCTTAACCAAGCCTTTTTAAATACTTGGAAGCAGTGAACTGCATGAACTGATCAACTTTTTGTTTCCTTTTACCTTTCAACTTGAGTAATCTACTTAATGTTAACATCTTTAAAGGTTTTCTAAATTTTTTCATACTTAATTTTTTGTAAAACGAGAGATATAGTGCCGTCAGCCCGTCACAAATATGTTTGGTCTCCGATGTTTTCAATATTTAAGGATAATTAATTTTGAACCCTTTTAACCAATGAGTAAAGAAGTAGTTCTAGGTTATCTGCCTTTAGTATGCATAGGATTTAACTTGTACTTGTGTACATCAGTTTGGCTTGTTTGATATATTTTCATTTTGAACATTTGGGTGTTTGCAGTGTACCTACATAGGGGCGGGGAAGGTGTTTTATTTTCTTTAAATTAATTTCAGTGGCTGTAAGCAGTGAACTGGTCACATAAAACGCAATGGTAGTCTATAGTTTCATATAAATCAAGGTAAACTATTTTTACATACTGTTGAATTCCAACTCTTTGGAGTAAATAAAAATCTTCATAATTTGTTTAGTTTTGAGAATTGAAACGGTAAAAAGGGCAAAGTGAAGAAACTTTACATTCAATTTTGCAAATCTTTTTAAAACCGTCTACTCTCCTACAGAAACGTTATTGACTAATGGTCTAAATAAAAAACGTTTAATTGGCAGATCGTTTGTGCCGCCGGTGCGAGACGAGGAGAGTGAAACACAGCGTAAGGCGCACGCCAAGCGAGTGAGAGAAACACGGCGGTCGACGCAAGGAGTGACACTGGAGGAGATCAAATCTGCAGAACAACTGGTGAAGAAGAAGCAACAACAACAGCTGCAGCAGGCAACTCAACAACTGAGCGGCAGCGATCAGGTAAGACAACAACAACAACACTGCTCGTCTGTAAATACAAATGTCAACCACTTCCCAGTAACAGCCAATGCGAGAAGTCCCATTTGGTATCTTTGATTTTGTCATTTTGTAGCTTCATACAATGTGCTAGGGAATAATGAAATACACCCTCATTTTGACTCATACTACACATTTGTTAAATAGTAGGCCTACCAACGGAACATTTTTTTGCTAAATTAATGATCTAGGTGTAGAGTTTATCATTTAATAAACAGTGAAAGATTTTATACATACGTACATAAGTAATATAAGTTAATATTAAACACATAAGTACAGGTAGTCCTCGCTAAACGTGGTCTGGTTTTCACAGTTACCAACAAAAATTTAAACACAAAAAAAACTTCTACAGAGTTCTTTTTAAATGTGTATGTTGTTTAAATGTAAGCTTTTACTGCACTATCATTACAAGATTGTAAATTTTTTTACGTTACCAAAATAAGCTAGAAAACTTCTTGTGGAATGTTGCAAATTTTATTTTGCTCTGATAGAAGGTTTCCTTGTTTTACCGAAGTTAAAATTTGCTTAAGGTTTTTTTTTGTATTTTGCCTAAGTTATTAGTTTTTTAAGTTTTTTTGTGAGGGCCATACTCAGGTTTTGTTTTATTTTAACCTCAATCTTCTGTCAAATTTGATCATTAATTCATATCCCAAAAATGGTATCTAGGTCCAGAATCTATCCCGCCAGTGTTCTATCACTATTACAACTTGGATAGCCAGATAATTCGCTTTTACCATGTTGAGCATTAGCCTACCTGTACTTGTTAGTTGACTCTAAAAAACTAATTCATCACTTGCAGCACACAACCCTTTTTACTGTCCACAACTGTGACAGTAACTAAACAATAAAATCATTCAATTCAATTCAATTCAATATTTCTTTATTAATTGAAGCACAAAGTACATGAATAGTGTCATAAACAACAACAAACATTGCTCTTTATTAAACTTGAACTCTTCTAAACTGTCTGAATGCAAGGGGTACTGAAAATCTAAGGTTATGGTGGTGTTACTAGTCGCCGGACAGTGAAGAGCCGCTACACATAACTGCCACAATCACGACGGCGGAACCTACAGTGGCACAGTCGGGCGAGCGCCGGCCCTCGTGGCGCCTCCGTGTAGACAACGGCAGCAAGGTGGCTATCTGGCGCATGTCTGTGTCAATGTCAGTGACTCACGCACCCAGCCAAACCTAAACATGTTGATGTGTCAGAAATTATTTACACTTTTAACAGCAAATAATTTTATTGAAATGACATCTGTTTTAATGGCCCAATAAGAAAAAATCACATTTTAAATGTCAATTTTTGTTATCCGTTACCCCAAAAACGTGAATTTCGCTACCTTTACTGTGGATTTTGGCCTTAAATAGGAAAATAATTGATTCTTTACATTTTGATATATTTGTTTCCTCTTTACCATATTAAGATAATTATTCAATTTTTCCTTTGGATATCTATGCAATCGTTATATACACAACATGTACAAAGTGATATGTATAAATATTTTTATAGTCTAGGTAATAACATTTTAGGTTTGGCAAGGTAAAATGGCGCAGATGCACACTTGTATTTTTACTGCTTTTTTAGTTGTTTTGGATTTTTTTTGTAGTAACTTTTATCATACCGTATGATATCTTCTATCTTCTAGTATGGTTTTACTGCACGATATTTCTAGCACAATTGAAATTAGTTGGATACTTTTTGTCTGCACTTTTATTTTTTAAAATTAAGTTACTTTATTGTTATGATCTGCACTTTTAAATTTTGTCATTGAATTTCTGTGGTTTGATATTTCATAAAGTCGTAAATACATTTTTGTTGTGTTTATTTGATTGATTAGGAATCACAAATAAGAAATTGATGGCTGTTTTCACAGGACTAAAATAAAATTTGTTTTACAGTAGCACTCCAAATTATGCGAACTCCAACTTTCCGAATCGCTGATCATCCCAATCGCTTCCAGAAAGAATCAGCAAAATCCAAAACCTCTACGTGTAGACATATCATCGTCTCCCATGGTTACAGAAACATCGTCATCGTTTTACGTTATTGCCAGCAAATCTTGATTATCTCCTGCAGTTGTGTAGACACCATCATCCATCATCTTACCCCACCGTCATGAAAACATCTCCATTGTTTTTTGCAACCGCGGCTAAATCTTGTACATCTTCCGCTGTCTTATGGACATCATCTTTATCTCCCGAAGTATGGAAAAGATCGCGAAATCTTTGCAAATGTGTTCTGTTATCGCTATAGGTAAAGCTCGGTTTAACTGGACTTATTTTCTGTAAATTACCCCAAATTTTGTCAAAAATCAACTATCCAAATGTTTTATTATCTGAATGTTGTACAGTCCCTTCATGACCATAGTGATGCAGGATGATTAGGATAGTTGGAGTTCTAACTGTAGTTGTATAAAATCAGTTAACCAACATGGATCTATTGATAGTAAGTTCTAGATGATTACATAACATAACGTGTGCTTAATCCCTCAATAAAACATTGTTATACATTGTCTGGGGAAACGTTTTTTTATTCTTTAATTTCTACATCATCACATTTATTACATTTATTACACATTTATTACATTTATTACATTTGACATCTAATAGTCAATGATATTACTCCTGAATAAAATACCAACAACTAATTTTAAACATTTTCCCCATAAATTTTCATTGCTTGTTTAATAATTAGAAAAATCATATTTGTGTGTGCTCGTTTGGATTTTTGAGTTAAATTGCCCTTACTTTTGGTAAATTTAATAAGGCTGCAGAATTCCATTTAATTATGGTATTCAATCCAATTTTTTATCAAACATGTTGTATCATGAATGCTGTACTATTAACCTGCATGATTTGGTATAATAATATGTGTATCATGTAACCTAACAGTTTAAAATACACTTGTGTGTACTAGTAGCAAACTTGTGTACAGGAATGTTATTTTTTTCACTTTTGAACATGTTTGTGCCTTGGATGTTTTTAGGAAATAGTTTAACTGTTTATCATAATCAAACTCTGAAGGCAGGAACATCATACATTTTAAAATTTATTATAAGGTTACAAAGTCTACCAATAAGTTAACACTCTCTATGTTTGTAGTTAACTTTTTTTACTTTCTTAAAAACTTTGCATCACTGGTTTTATATTTTAGCAGTACAGCAGACTCCCTCTTATCCAGACTCCTCGCGACCGAGGCCAGTCCGGATAATGGTTTTTCCGGTTAAACTGACGTCCTCAAAAACGGACCTTTAGATACATACTGTATGATACAGCATTTGACTTAAATTTGGGAGAGCATTGTCTTTAGACACGTGATTACTGGTCTCAAAACTTTCCCACAAGAACAGTCGTTTCAGTACCACCCACCTCCTGCCAATTCTAGTCCGGTTAAACCGATGTGGTGATAAAAATTGTCCGGCTAAAGAGATGTAATTTCCGCCGAGTTTAGCCCGGTTAAAAGGTGTCCGGTTACCGGATAAGAGGGAGTCTACTGTACTTGCCTAGGAAAACTTACGCTAAATGATGTGTCTAAAATTTGTCTTGCATCATACAAATTTTCATTGGATAGTGCTTTGATATTGTAACTTTATTGATAAACATTACAAAATCTTGCATCACTGAAAGGGAAAGGGTCAAGAAGGAATCCCAGTTATGGAATTTCCTGAAAACGTGTTTATTTGTGAACTGTGAACCCTACTTGTCAAAATGTTTGTCTGTGGTCAGTAAATGCTAATGGAACAAGTTTTTATAGCTGATGTAACAAATCAAAATTGTCCTAAGAAACGTCCAAGAGTTACAGTTTTCAATGCGGGTCTTAAGAATAGGGCTGTCTTTTTGTATCTTTTAAGTTTTCGTATGAACCAATTATAGGACTAAGAATAGTGCAGTGTGTTAATTTACCAAAACTTCAATAATATGACCAAAGAATTTAATGTAAAATGTGTGATGTGTGTTTTAATGGAAAATTCAGGAAATTCGTTCTATACTGAACAGTCCCACTATTTTCTCTGTCTAATTGATGTTGATCTGATGTTACAGTTCATGTTGGAAGACGCAAGAACAGAGCCGAGCAGAGCGTCCGCCCCCGCACTGGAGGCAGCTCTGAGACGTCCCTCGGTCACCACTACCCCTCGCCCTGCCTCAGACCCTGCGGATACATCCGTCACACTGCCACTGAGACGACCCTCTCGTCCACCTGATGACAAAGGTAAATAAAGCAGATTTGACATTTTAAAAGCTTTGGAGATATAGAACTTCTCTCAAATGAATTGATTAAAGTAAAACTAATTTGATTCACACAAGAAATTAGAACAATGGTCATTCTGTTGCAGCTGGCTTCCTTAGTTAGCACATACATAAATAATTTTAGAATTTAATTTGGAAAAATGCAGTAATTTTTCAAACTTTATTAGTTTTTTAGTTTTTTGAAGGAAAACTTCTAGTATTAACGTAAACAGTTTTAACCAAAATAATTATTATTAATCAAACTATCCTAAGAACTAGAGACATATTAATGACATTTCGGACAAGGGAAGTAAAAGTAAAGTGACTGAACAAAAAGAGGTTCCGAGGTAACACAGGGTTTAGGGTAAAGGCAATTGACTGCTACACAATGCAAACTAGACACACTACCTCCCTACAATAACAATATAAGAGTAAGAATATTTATGTTCTCACAGTAATATAATAATTACAGTAATTAAACTACAAGATAATGCCCAATATACATGAAAAGGAACTTGATATATTATTTTTTTTACTAAACGTCCCTTGTGTCAGACTGACTAAGAGGAAAAATTAACACTGCCTCAATTACAATAATATGCATAATAAAGAAACGTAAAAATTATACCGAGATGATTTTTATATCTTGTGCAAGTAATTGGGAGAAAATGTAGGGCCCCCAAGGAAAAGTCTGTTTTGGGATTCCTTCATTATAAAATAACAAAAAGAATAAATGATAGACAGCATTCAGATAAAATTACCCGGATTATAAATTTAAAACAATGTCTGTCTGCTAGTAGACAGAAACAGACGCCAGTGTGTTGTTCTGTCTATTTGAAACTGGTGATGACTTAGCCAGTTGAAAAACAAATTTAAAATACAGTTGAAACACAAAAAAATAAAAATACATACAAACTTGCATTATTTATAACATTTATTGCATATTTGATCTACATGTAAGGCTGTTTATACCCACTGGAGTAGGAAGTAATAAGAACTGATTTGATATAATTTGCCTTGTTACAGATCAAGACAAGGAAAACGACATCAGGAACGCTCAGGCAACCCAGGCTGTGATCCAGCGAAGAAGAAGACCCAAGAGAAGATCAACAGGAGTGGTCCATGTTGACATGGATGTAAGTATCGGACATATTCATATTCCTTATCCATTTGTGAACCAAAGTGATAAATACACAAAATTTATTATTATCCTCTCTAGAATTGCGTAATACATAAAGCACATAGTAGGTTAGTTTTTGGAAGAAAAAGCACATTGCCTAGGAATACATTAAGGAAGATGGAGTGGATATATACAATGTTACCCAATTTAAGAGTTCCAAAGAATAAGTTTTCTTGATAAGTTAGTTGTGTATCAATTCAATTTATAGTTAAATTTATCGATCTATAACTAACTGGCTATCTTACCCAGTTAAATAGTTAGCTTTATAATGTACTAGTACCGCAATAGATGTAAGCAAAAATCTCAAAAAGATTTTAACATTTTTTATTAGCCTTTTACTACATATTTGAGTAAGTTTTACACCAACACAGTATGAAAATTCAGTGATTGACAACACTAGATGGTTGTAGGGTTATTTTCATTCTGGAATCTTTACTAAGGATTACATTTTACAACTTACATGGTAATATGTAATGTTTCAGGAGATTGATCCTGACAGACAGGACAATGCTGGTGGAGTCGATGGTGAAGACGTTCATGTCAACAATACAGAGGTCAGTGTTTTGTGTGAATGTATTTGTACTTCATTAACCTATAGTTACTGTAAACACTAACGATTAAAAAAAAATATTGTTAACCATTTGTCTCTAGTCAAACACACTTAAAAGGTTCTTTTGTGTAAACTAGGTCAAAGTCAATTTTGTAGTTAGGTTGTTTTGTGGATTATAGATAGGTTTTTGTCTAGAGGTGTGCGGATATCCGAAAAATCGGGTCGGATTCGGTTCGGTTCGGATATCCGTATCCGAACCGAGCCCAAATTTGATATCCGACACTATCCGTTATATATCCAACTTTTTCGGATAGACAACATATTTTGATGTTTTGGACAGAAGAACTAAATCTTCATAACCATCATTAGTTTCCCAGAACAAAATTACAGCAATACGTTTCCAACAACGACGTAACAGCAAAGGACAAAGAAGCCGTATGATGCAATACCGATTTCTAGTTTATAGTCGTTATCAACGTCGTTATCGGCTGCTTTGCTTTACGATTAGATTTGTCTGGAACGAACAGACATAAAACAGAAAAGAACTACTATGGTCAACTCACAACTCGTGCATGTCACCTGATACTAGGGGCGCTATGTGTAATAGTTTTTTTTTACAGTACTGTTTTAAAGTATAAAAATCTAGCCTACTTCTGTTCTGTTACGTAAACAATACATTTAATGTTTCCCGAAAAAAGTCAAAATAGAAACAATAGAAGGCAACACAATAGAAGGGTGGGAGGGTTTGGGCATTGACCTCGAAAGGAGCCCGGGTAACGGGTAGCAACTAGCAACAGTGAGTCGAGTGGGCCGTGAGGGGGGAAGGGTGGGTTACGACCTTGAAGCTGACCAGCACTACTTTCCTAAATCTAAAGGACTGGCGAGTAGTATTCCAATCACAGGACAAGATACGTTGTTTTTCGGGTACCTATTCATTGCCCGGTTTGACTTTGTATTGTCTTATTGTGTAGAAGCTATGAATAATCAAAAATAAAATTACAACTAACCACGATTATTTATCATTGATTGTGTATATTGAATGATTAAATGATAGGGACCAGGGGAAATATACAAACTTTTGTCATGATTTGAATTTCAACATCAAAATACAATATTGCACAATCATGATATTTAAGGTCATTGACTTTTATTATGCATCCGGTATTGCTGTTTCAGAAGAGAAGCACGTCGATAAACTATAAATTGATATTCCCGTGGTTAAAAAGAATTATTTTATAAACCTATAAAACAAAATCATAAAATCTTACATAAAGATAATAACTGTTGTGACCGTACTATTAAAATACACGCACATTGTAACTTATATAACTTTATTTTTACAACATAGATGTTTTTGTAATGTAATGTTTTTAAAAGTAACAATAACAAGTGTTTTATATTATTTATCAACAGCTGACTATTTAGAATAAAGATTATGACACTCTCCCTCACTTATTGAGAAGAACATAAACTATTTTTGAATGATAAAGTCTCGTAACCAAGGTGGCTGTCGTCGTTGTCTTATTGGTCGTGGAGAGCGAACTGGAATGTTAACTTCTGTAGGGTGGTCTGGTTCTGGTTCAATATGGTCGGGTATTTGATCAGGATACGATGGAGTTTGGTTTGGAAGTCTTGATACATCAAACGATTGTTCAGGTCCAAATGTTACCTTCTTTTCTTTCATGATAGTTGGTCTCAGCTGGTTAATGTGTCTCTTGACGTTTCTTCCACTATTGAGTGTTACTATGTAGTGCCTTTTTCCTAGCTTCTTCTTAATTACTCCAAACTGCCAAACTTGTCTGTTGTTAGAGAATATTTGAACTTGCACTCTCTCCCCCTCTTGAATCGATCTAACAGGTTTTAAAATAGGGTTTAATTTAGGGTGTTTTTCTGAGTCTGTAGAGAAGTATTTCAGGGTTTGAAATATTCCATTCATTTCATGGTCTTTTTCGGTCTCTTCTTTGATTGTCATTGAAGATGTTTCATAGTTGGATACTTGAAAAAGTGATTGAGAACAAAGCTGGTTAACTTCAGCTCCGATTAGTTTCTCTTTTGAACTTGAATATGTTTTTAGTTTGGTTGATAAAGTGTTTATCGAGTTTACGCTGTCAATCGAAACATGGTTTGACGGTTTCTGAAACATTTCATCGTACACCTGTCGAAGCTCGATTTCTAACCCTCTAATCCACTGTCTACCTAACAAAGCGTCATGTCCTGCAGGTACGATGTGTAGTTCACCATCTATCTGTTTACCATGGTAAGATACAGTAACAAATACCTTTCCAACAGAATGATGTTACCTGTGTATGACCAAAAGCAAACATTAGAATTCTGTAGGGGAAGGCCAAGCTTGAGTTTCTTGAAATCACTTTCTGAAAGTAGGGAAAATTTTGCACCGGAATCGACTTTAAAACGTTGACTTTTGCCGTTTAATTCTACATCAATGAGGTATTTGTCGAGATCAGGAGTCATTTCAAAAAGGTCTACTACAGTACAATTCATGCTATGAATGCCGTATGTTGGGTCATGAAAAGGTTGATTGAACTGTTCACTATTAGTAATTTTTGAGTAGTGATTGAATGCAAACTTTTGATACATGACCTTTCCTTTTGCAGTTATTACACGAGAGCGTCTTATAATCTACTCTACAGTTACTTGCCTTGTGACTATTTCTACCACAACGCAAACATACGTTTTCAATTCCCAAGGCCTTGAAGTCGATGTACCTTTTTCGGGAGACAGATCTAGACGATCTAGACTTGTAGTTTTCAGGTGAAGATCTGTTGTTTGCATTTAATCTTCTGTTTCCTGGATCTTTCGAACGGTTTCTAGAAGTTCTGTAACTGCTGGAAATCACATTAGTAGATTCGGTAGAAGTAAAATTGTTAAAACTTGATGTCTGATTAGGTTTAGAAAGTTCTTTGCTGTCAAGTTTTGATGCCTCTAAAGCAATAGCCTTGTTGAGTATTTCGTCAAAACTAGAGAGATTTGATTGTAAAATCTGTTCTTTAAGCCAATCATCTCGAAGGCCACGGATGAACTGGGCTCGTAAAAATACATCAGAGATTGAATTTGTTTTCTCGCATTCACATTTAATTGTAAACTCACAATCGACCAAGTCTCGCTGAAGTGAGGCTACGAAATCTGATATTGATTGACCATTCTTTTGATAAATGTTCAAAAAGTAATGTTGAGAAACGACTACATTTTTCTTAGGAACAAGCAATTGAGTTAGAACTTTGACAAGATCATCGTAAGGTAAGTTTTTTATTGGTTTCTCTGGGCCTAGAAAAGCTGATAGGGCATTGTAATGTACTGACCCAATAGATACACATAAGAGTTGAGCAATACTTTCCTTTTGAGTCAGGCCTTTCAGAGTATAGTAATTTTCAAAACGTTCTAGATAATTACAAAACTTTTCACGTCTAGGTTCGAAATGTTCAAATGGAGCAATATTTGTAAGACTTACTGATACCTCCGACTTCTCATGCCTTGTGAAATGTGAGAATAATTGTTGAAACTGTTCTTGTTGTTGCTGTTGAAAAATTTGTAGGAATTCCTTGAATTGGTTAGCATCCATTGTGGTTCAGTCAAATGTGATGAAAGTAGTGTAGGTTGAATGATTGAAACAGATTGAATAATAATTACAGATTATTTGAACATGTAAAATGTCATCATTTCGGTTTTTACTCGTCGCCAAAAAGTGTTGTGACCGTACTATTAAAATACACGCACATTGTAACTTATATAACTTTATTTTTACAACATAGATGTTTTTGTAATGTAATGTTTTTAAAAGTAACAATAACAAGTGTTTTATATTATTTATCAACAGCTGACTATTTAGAATAAAGATTATGACAATAACAATAACAGCAATTGTAAAAAGGGTATAAAGATAACGTCATTATACTTTCTCTTTGTTCTTTTATTTCTTGGGTTTCCCTTCATCAGCATTCAACAAGTTGCCTAGTTGCTATGGTTACTAATCACCCATGTCGTTATCAGCTGTTGTGACATAGCGCACAGCAGGGGGTAAAACTTGACGAAAATCGGTTAATTTATACCTATTATTTAATTACCAATGTACTTTATCGGTACTGTATTAATTAATTGGCCGATTTTTGTCAAATTTAACACAAAATTTATTGAAATTTCAAGGTGAATATCAATAAAACAATTATTACCAAATATTTTTATTCATTTAAAAGATTGATTTGTGGTATTGGGTCCCCCACTGAGTGCAGCCAAGCGGCACTAATGAGGGTTGAACCATCTTGGGGGTAGACAATAGACGGCTTATCAGACCCAACCCTCCCCAGTGGTCTGGAGAAAGCTTGTAAAAAACTATTGCACAATTGTGACTTGGCATTGGGCTGCTTCAACTTTAATTTTTTCAAATGAACTGTGATGTTAAAAATCAAAAACAATAATTTTGGACTATACTGCATAACAATAATGGACTGCAATAATTGTTGAATATACAATCCATTTTTAACAAACTAAGATTATACTATTCAAATACAATTTTAAAAATTATCTTGGTATTTTACTTGGGGTAATGAAGCTGTAGGCTAGTGTGATTCTCGGTTCATCAAGGTTCTACTGAATTATGTTTGGCAGTGAATAAGTGTAGAATGAAATTTATAAATTCAGGGATACACACATTTTACAGAGTTTTAAAGCCTAATTGCCCTAATTAACTTGCCACAACATCAAATCTAGAGCCCAGCTTAGTGCATTAGTGATGTTTTCTATACTTGGCAAACCCCAAGAATGCCACTTAAGGCCAATAATCAGTTTCAAAAACGTAAGGAAATACAATGTGAAAATAAACTTGAGATAGAAATCATTGTCTTGTGAGAACCAGGAAACAACATAAAACATAACCTCAAGTAAGCAAGCCTAAACGTTTTGACATCAGTCCTGCTGAGCTAAAGTGTTGTGTGAAGATTTTGGTTGCTAGTGTACTTAATTCAAGCAACCAACTTTTGAAAATAATGT